AGACTTTCTAGAATATTTGTATAATGAATCCTTGCTTTCCAATTCCTTTTGTACCACTCCTGAGCAACTTCCTACTTTACCTTCCTGTCATATTATCTTTAGGAAGAGTCTGTTTTGAAGCCATCCACCAAGAATTCCTTTGATGACATCAGGCAAGATCCTTATTTGCTCTACTCTCAAGTAGTTAATAACACTTACCTATTTGATCCAACTGTCCTGTGGAGATTAATCAGGTGTGTATGAACATACTTTGAAGCTTGAAAGTTATCGCACGTGTACTGGGCAAATAGGGCCTCAGAGATATAATTTCTTGTTTGCATCATGAAATTGGCAGAGCAGGTACCACCCGAGAAGATTTTGTTTCCTCTGTCCAAAGGATGTTTAGAACAGCTCTGAAAGGGTTCGTTAATTCCCTAGGACTGCCATAGCAGATTATCACAAATTTGGTGGCTTCAGAAAAAGGAAATTTATTCTCTCAGAAGTACAAAATCAAGATGTCAGTGGAGGACCTGAGGGAGAGTCTCTTCTGCATCTCGTGGTGGCTTAATTTCATTGTTTCCTTATTACACAGACACGACACCATATGCATGTGTCCATTTTGGCCGTACCACACTGTGTCATAAATGGTTATCATCTTGTATGTCTTCCCCTTTTGGGGAACTTCACTTCTTGGGGGCAAGGATCATTCTTTTCTGTAACACTAGTACTTCACTAAGTGCCAGTCATAGGGTAAGTTTTCAATAATATTTGTGAAGTGAATTAATTTTGTTCCATGGATAATTGAATACATGCTTGCCTTCTAGAACTAGTTTAGAGTGCTGGTAGTTGCAATCAGAGTCAAAAAAGGCACAGGATAATACTGCTGACACAGAATGAGACTTACAAAGATACCACATCATGGTAAAAGTTGAGATACTTAGATAAAAAATGAACTTTTAGAGAAAACAAATTATCCACAGATTAAAATGCTTGAGATATTTGAGCACTTGTCTAAGCTACAGACCAGTGATTCTCAACTGTGGGTGATCTTGCTCCTCAGATACCTGGAGATTTTTTTGGTTGTCACAGTGGGGGAGGTTATTACTGGCCTCTAGTGGGTAGAGGCCAAGGATGCTGCTCAACCTTTTACAATGCCCAAGACAGTCAGTCCTCCACAACAGAAAATTATATGGTCCAAAATATCTACGGCTGAGATTGAGAAACTCTATTACTGACCAAACTTTAGAGAATGTTTTGACTTTTTACTTAAAACTGAAGAGATCATGTGAACACTAATTAAACATGTCAGTGGATATATTAAAAAGCACCAGCAAAGAAAAGAACCCTTTGTTTATGAGGATCTATTTAAGTTCAATTCCTATTATGTGGGTATAAGCTAGGACAGATCATGCAGACACAGAGCAATAAGTTCTCAGTTTTTCAGTGGAATGAGTGCACATATCAAGCGTCCCTGGGAGAAGGTGTCCTCTGGGGTTACACTCTGGTGCCAGGGTTGGTTTCCAGGGAAGCCTCCAAGACATCAACAAACTGGCATAAAACAAACAGTAATACCTTTTCAATATGATGAAATCAAAATATCATCATTGGCAGTTACTCCTAAAAAATCTTTATTTTTTATCCATTTTAAATAGCCTGAAGTGCTATTTTTACTTTTCTCTCGAGTGCTGTTCTACAATATTGGATTTTGTTTTAAAATATTTCCTGCCTCACTTATCGCTTATTTCCAATAAGGCATTGTTGGTTGTTCCTCCTCAACACCCATGTCTACACACATTTTCCATTTGCAGACACATGTCAGAAATGCTTCTTTCCAGTGGCAAAGCCCTTGTTCCCCTTCGAGTTGTCATGCATTCTACAAGCCTGGTTAGTTATAATTAGAGGAGGTTCTAGTTCAGTTCTGTGACATAATTTTTATCTCTATCCCACAAGTGATTATTTTCTTTTTTTATCCCTTTCCCCATGTTATTTACATTCTTTTTTAAAATTATGGTGTATATACTTTGGTAAAAGTAAGATAAATAGCACTGACACACATAAAGTAAAAAGTAAATGTCTCTCTATTCATAAATCCCTCATTCATGCAACCCCCAACATAATTACTATTAATATCTTTTTGGATATCCTTCTAGAAATTTTCTATGCTTACATAAGAATCTGTGAGAGATATGTATGGATGTGCATGTTTGTGTACATGCTTGTATGTGGGAGGGTCCATGCCTACTTAAGCTTACTTTTTTCTCTTTCCAATCTATCTTGATCATATTAGTATATATGCATCCACCTAATTATTTTTGAGAATTCTCAGTATTCCATTATATAAGCATAAATTAAATTCTTTAACAATTCTGTATTGGTGGATTTTTAGGTTGTTTTCACTTTTTGCTAATATTAAATGTTCTTTAATGAACACACTTTTCCCTTCAGGTCTTGGTAGTTGTGCAGTTCTCCTCTCAGAGTAAATTGTAAGTGGGACTTGTAAGCCAAAAGGTATATATATGTATGTGTATATATATACACATATATATGTATAGATATTTTAAATTAATGACATATTACAAAACTATTCTCCAAAAATTACTGCAATAATTCACCAGTAAGTGATGCTAACATTTTCACTTTTCCCTCAAAATTCTTAGCCACACCTGGTTGGCCAGCTACATGCAGGCTGCTTCTGCTCAGGGAAATCTTGTTAGCACCTGCTCCCATACAATTGATTTACTGTTTTAGATTATCTTTTCCA